TAAGGTTGGAACTGTGAACACATGACCCTCCTCACACAGCACCAGGAGTCTCCTAGGATGGGTCCCACCAACTCCAAGGGGGATAGTGGGTCACTGACCCCAGGCTTGAGCCAACCCTCCATACTCCCAAGCTCATGCCCACACCCAGGATCTCTTCAGGTGCATAGAGGGAATCCTACCACCCAGAACATTCCAGATCCTGGGTGTGTAGACCTCAGCCCTCTTGCTCCAGGGACCCCTTCTATTTGTCCAGGATGCCCAGCCTCCTCCTGCCTTGTCACATGCCCAGTGCCAGCACAAGGACTGCTTCTCACCACAGATGGGGCAGAGGGCAGCATATGCCCAGCTGGGCAGCCATTCAGAGAAACACTCCACTCAGGGCACCTCACAGAGCCTGTAGCTGGAAGACTAAAGGGCTGCGACCAAGCTTTAGGAGCATCTGGGAAGCAGGCCAAGCAAGACCCCAAGGGGCAGGCACCAGCCTAGCCTGCAGGACCTGCACTGCTGCCTGGACCCAAGTGGACCTGAGCTGTATACGAAACAACAGTCACAACAGATCCTGACCTCCCAGAACCTCCAGCCTCTGCCAGGCCGAGGGCCAGCAAACAGGCTTCCCTGGGCCAGCAAGAGCAGGTCTTCTGTGGCTCCAGGCTCCCAGCCACCAGGATACCACCCAGATGTGGTATGCCAGTAGTGCTATGCCATTACTGCTGATGCCACTGCCCTTGACATCTTGATGGACAGCTCTGTCACTACATCACCAGCATCCTTTTGGCAAGATCATGATAATCATCTCTGCCGCCTGTGGGACCACAGCCTGTGAGACTGGTGCCACCTGGCAGGCAGGGAGGACATGAGGCCACTGGGCCTGGACTCAAAGGCACCCGGACTCAAAGGCACCCTTCTCTGAGATAATGGTGCCAAATGAACAGATGCCAGCAGGGACCCATGAAGGAGGCCGAGGTGGAGCTGAGTATAGCCTGGGCCTGGGTCTCTCCAAGCGCTAGGCAGGCCCCAGCTACCATATGAAGGGTCCTACACCGTAGGCCCTTCCCTAGGGCACACATGGGGGCCTAATTCTCTCTTTTAAAGCCTGAAAAAAACCTGCCCCCAAGGAAGCACAGGTCCCTGAGCTAGCTATGCCACAGCCACTGCCCAGCAGGCCCCAGGCCCAGCCAGGAACAGCCCCTTCCCACCAGCAGTGGGCAGCAGGGGCCCTGGTGGGTCTTCTGGGCATGGCCACCACACCCTTGTTCACTGCCAATAGGCAGGAGGGTTGGGTTTCAGCCAGCACAAAGACAGGTACCACATCAAACCTGAGGGCAATTCTTCTGGCATGTTGGCAGCAGCCATGGGGTGCCAGCTTAAGTGCTGGGGAGAGAGGCCTCTGCATCAGAACTGTCCTTCAGGCATACACTCAGGTGGGAGCTAGACTGGGTGGTCGTGTCATGGGCCTCTCCAGGTGCCTCCTGCTGCCCCTGAGAGATCACAGATGTGTCCAACCGCCAGCCAGACTCTCTTATTTGATACCATATTTGTTCACAAGCCAATCACACCTGGGCCTGGGAGGCAGGTGTGCACCCACCCCTACCCCTCTGCACTGCAAGGGGTTCTTTGATGGCGTCTTTTGTTCAGTTTTTCAAATGAGAATCTCAGGTGCAGAAAAGATCAGCATAGCCCCTGCACGAGGATGACACGCAAATGAGTCTCAGCACTTCTTGGATAGCCTTTCCTTTATTTTGCTTTCCTTTTTTTTCTTTTCTCTTTCTCATCTTTTCTTTACATTTTTTCAGTCTAAATGCTTCATACCATATTAACATCAACTTTATTGTTGGGAATGAGAAATCTGCCAGAATGTGATGGGCAGGGGGCCGGTTTCAGCGATCCGTCCTGGAATTTGACCTGCAGGCTTAGGCCTCATTTCACTTGGAGAAATTTAACTCTATTTTTTACATCAGTCTTTTCCCTGGAAGCCCCTCCAGCGGCCATGTGTTCTGCTGAGTCTGTTTCACTTGTGCTTATACCGTCTTCCTCATAAATGCTCTCCTGTCTCCACCCTGCTCTGGAGAATCTCCCAAGTTGGTCTGCCAAAGCACTAGCTCACATTCCGTCAGATTCCATTCTGCTTCCTGCTGGTGACTCTCCTGTGCAAGGCTAGTTGTTGCATGTGAAGGTGCAGAGGAGTCAGTGTCACTCACTACCGGGACCCTCTCCACCAGTGGGTACCTGCTCTGAACTCCTCCAGGATGCCTTGCTCTAGGGTTCTCCAAGGAGGCAATGATTACCCTGCAGAGGAGACTGGGCCACTTGAAAAAGGCAGGCTTGAGAGGCCACAGCCCCAGCAGGCATAGTAGAGGTGACCCCATGAGCCTTCAGGTGAGCATGGTCCAGACTCGTTACCAGGCAGTGTTGGGTGCCAGATATCACCCCTGGCAGCTGCAGGGGACATAGCCTCCACAGGCCAGGCAGCTCTAGGTCCCTAAGTCCCTGGTGGTTAGTAGCCCTAGGTGCTATCAGCATCCTTACAGCACCTCAGAAGCCACTGCCTCCACAGGCACATGGTGACTGGTCAGGTAGAGTGGCTCCCCACATGCCCAAGCCCTGTCCAGCTGCCCCAGGAGGTTCTCATGGGGCCCTGTCAGGGTAGGAGGGCATCTTAGCTGGGCCAGAGAGTTTCTGGAATGCTCCAGAGTCCTGGAGGCTGTGAGCCACAGGCAGGAGTTGGTCATCTGGCTCATTGTGCTCCTCCACACAAGGACTTTCCAGCGAGGTTTGGGTCTGCAGCCTGTGGACAGAGGAAGCCACTTCAGTCCCATCTACAGGTAGCCATGGCCTAGCTGATCACCAAGAAGTATGAGAAAGGCCAGAGCTGAAGGCAGAAGGCGGGTCACACAGGGCCATCTTCTCGGCAGCACCAGCGGGCTCAGCTTGAGGTCAGACTTCAGCACAGCCCTGCGCCCTCCCCGGGAATGAGGGTGCTCAGGGCTCTGAGTGTCCACTGCCCACCGCACAGGTGCCCATCTGGCCCTGCCCAGGACCATCAGTCAGTGACTCTCAGCAGACTCAAGGAGAAGCCAGATCGGCCCAGGATAGCCCTTGCCAGAGTGACTTGAGGCCTGGGGATTGGACCTCTAAGGGGAGCTGGCGGGAGAGGCTGCCAGCCCAGAGCAGGATGAGGCTGGGCTGGTTTTGGCATAGGGGTTTGGTCACATTATAGACAGTAGACAGTAAGAAATAATTATTTTTGGGCTCAGTACCAGGAAAACTAGTTTTCCAAATTAATCCAGGGAGAGCCATGAATCCACATTTCATAAAACACTGTTACGATCCATAAACCTGACACAGTTGGCTCCCAGCCCCTCCCCCTCAAGCCCCTCATTACACATCAGCATCTATTACTTTAAATTCCTCCCCAGTTACTGGGACAGGACTGGGCTGTAATTGAAATACAGAAACAAAGGGAGCAGAGGTGGGAGTGTAGCCACCACCACATTCCCACCCCCAGCAGGACCACAATGTGCTTTGGTTGGCCATAAGGAAATACTGAATCCAGTCACTCCCCGCTGACATGGGCTCAGCTACACCACTCTTTTGGCTAACAAGAGGTGACCAGAGCCCTCTAAGGAGGCCATACCTCAGCATGGCCAGCTTAGGCCCCACCAGCACCCTAAAGACCCCGGTGAGGATGTGCACCCTCAGTCCAGATGGTTCTCATTTTAACTCTCTCTTGGCTGCTCACACAGCCTTGAGCCCTACCTCACACCATACATAAAAGACTAATGTGTATCAGACCCTGAACATGGCAGCCAGACATGTAAACTGCCTATGAAAATGTCTTTATAACCTTAGAGATGGGACACAAAAAGGACTAAATGTAAAACTTAAAAATTGATAAATTGGATTTCATGAAAATTTAAAACTAAACTTCTGAAAACACCATAAAGAACCTAAAATGGCAGCAAGCAGCCACGAATACCTCTCACAGCTCAGCAGAGTTAACCCAGCCACCTACAGAGAAAGAGTTAGACATCATAGAAGTGGATGTGTGATGTCCTATAATCCTTGGGAACCCCTCAGTCAGCGGGGAAATACCACCTAAACCCCATGAGCTGCTGATGTGCCTTTAATGACCATGCCCAGTGCCAGAACCACGTGGCAGCTGGACTTGCTCTGCTAGTGGGAACGTGGATGGCACCCCTGCCCAGAAAACTGTCTCTGCTGTTGCACACCTGCCACACACCCCAACCAAGCTAATGTGTGAGAGACTTCACTGGTGACAGTGAGAAGCTAAACATACCCACGACCATCCTCCCAGTGGAGAGGGGGCCAAAGCCCACAGAGCTGTGCCAAAATCTCTGTCCCTCCCTTAAGAACCTGCCCTATTAGAGGCGATGGCGGCCTCCCAGCTGCCAGGGTCAATCTGCCCCTGCCTGACAAGTGAGGAAGCCCAGCCCAGAACTCCAGAAGTTCTAGTCGGGAATCAGCTCTGAGGCTGTGGATCAATTACACACAGGCTCCAGGGAACTCCCTGGGGATGGAAATGTTCTGTATTTTATGATGACTTATGCAGGCACAAATGTGTCAAGACCATTGAATTGTACACTTAAAATGAGTGCATTTTGTTGTTTGTGTTAGTAAAGCTGATTTTAAAAACTTCCCCATTCATATCTATCTGGCTCCTCTATTAGGGCTCAGGGGAACCCGTGTGGGCACTGTGCCTCCTGTGATCCTGGACCCCACACACATGTCTGCAGCCTCAGCTCTCACCACTATGGTCACAGCACAAATCTGTGGGGGCTTTCCAGGAAAAAGGAGATGCCATTGGAGGGCAGAGCCCAATCCAGCCAGGATTGAGGTCTCAGGCTCTGCCCAGGCCATCAGCCATGCACTCCTCTGTCTGGTCATGCCCACCTTAGCTGGCCTGCCCCTCCCTAGCCATCACCCCAACACACACACCACAACATGACCCCCAGCCACTGCTCAGTGCCTGCTATCCCCAGGTGGTCCTCATCATCAGCGGGAATCTGAGCTTCCTGAACTGGCTGACCATCGTGCCCAGCCTCGCCTGCTTTGATGACACTACTCTGGGATCCCTGTTTCCATCTGGGCCACGCAGCCTGAAGGGTCGAGTCCTGAGGATGCAACAGGAGGAAGCCCGAGGGGCCCAGCCCCAGCCCAGCTTCGGTAGGTGGACATGGACCAGGTAGCTGGCAGCCCAGTCTTGTGGGCTCATCAGGTGGGGCTTCTTGGTGGGGCAGGGCGGTGGGCAGCAGTCACTGCTGTGTGGGGACATGTGTCCTCCCTGGGATCAAGGCTGATGAGGTCACGGTACTGCTACCCTAAGCAAGCCACAGCTGGGCCTCATAGAGAGCTTCTGTCTGGGCTCAGCCTCCATTCCTGTTTTGAAAGATGCCCTCAGCTTGGGGACCAGGAATGTGAGTAGAGACTCTACCAGCTCTCCAGCAGCCCAGCCTCAGGCACCTCCCTCAGTGGCTGGGAGCCTGGAGGGGCCAGACAGCAGCCAGGGCCTTGCATGGGGCAGGCTGGAGAGGGCTCAGCACTAGGCAGAAGCTCATGACCACTCTTGGCCCAGGTTGTGTGGTGCGACGGGCAGTCAACCTCTCACTGGGCATCCTTGTGGCCTGGCTCAGCATCCCTGTGGTCCTAAACTTGCTGAGCTCCAAGCAGGTCATGAACGCCTCCTTCAGCTCTCTCAGGATCGTCAACACATATGGGGCCTTTGGAAGGTATGGGGCTGGGATTGCCAGGAGCTTCTCCTCACCCTCCAAGATCATCAGCTCTGAGGGAAGCCCAGGGGGAGACTCAGCCCTGTACAGCCATACTGGTGGCGTGTTCTTGTCCAGGTGGGGCTGGGATGGGCTCCCTTCTAACCGTGGGCCTACTGTGTGACCCCAGGGGGAATGGGGTAATGTAGATTTTCACCTGCTTCCTGTCCTTCCCCTAGCCTGACCCTCGAGGTCCCAGGATGTGGGTGAGCAGCAGGAGGTCAGTGAGGAGATCATAGCCACGTCATCACACCAGAGGGCAGGGCTGAGTCCACAGGGGTCCTGGGGTGGACAGCACACAGGGTCTGGGGGCAGCTGCCACTCATAGTATAGCAGGCATGTGAGGGCTATTCTTGGTCCTAGCCTTGGGAGGCAGGGCTGGGAGGAGTTGGTGGTAGGGCCCAAGGTAACCAGAAAGAACTGGGAGCTCCTGACCACTCCTCATGCTGTCTCAGAGTCTAGGTGCCCTCCCTGTCCTGGGGCCAGCACCTCGGTCTTGGTCACTCCCAGTGACTTTTGGTTTCCTAGCTCCTGGTTTCCACACAGCCTCCGCCTCCCTTGTACCCTCCCCAAGCTGCTGGAGATGGTTGGAGGCAAGTGCTGGGTGGGGCTGGGGTCTTCTGGCAGCAGGAAGGTACCATTAAATCAGCCCATGGGGGTGTCCAGGGGCCCAGACAGCTCATCTGCCCAACCAGAATGTGGGCTAGGGGACAGGGTGGGCAGCCAGCAATGCTGCAGGGAGGAGCAGCCAGGGTAAATGGGCATGTTGGAGACCCACAGCCTGACTGCATCTCTGTACAGCATCACCAAGGAGCGAACAGAAGTGATCTTGCAGGGCACATCCAGCCCCAACGCTAGTGCTCCTGATGCCATGTGGGAGGACTATGAGTTCAAGTGCAAACCAGGGGACCCCTGGAGACGGCCCTGCCTCATCTCCCCCTACCACTACCGCCTGGACTGGCTCATGTGGTTTGCAGCCTTCCAGGTAAGTTCTTCCCCAGTGGGCACTGCCCTGCCCCACCAAGGAGGCTGGTGAGGAGGTAGGCTGCTGAGACAATCCTGCCAGAGCCCACAGGACGCGCAGCCCAGCCTGACCCAGGCCCAACCTGGTGTTGGGTAGGGAGGCTAATCCAAGAGCTCCCACGGCTCCCCCAGGGCTCTGGCTAAGGAATCCCTAGGGTTGTGATAGACAGGCATGCAGGAGCAGAGCTTGCTGTCTAGTCCTGCCCACCAGCCCTTCAGGGTGACCTCACCCACCCCATCTTAACTGTGAAGGAACCAAGATGAGCCTGCTCCCAAGTAGCTGGCACCTAGACAGGGAAGTGATCCATAGACACAGAGCCCCCAGAGATGTGGACCCCAGGAGAACACCCTCCAGGAAAGCTGGACACACACCCACACTAAAGTCAAGGCTCCCAGAGGCCAGGAGGATAAACTAACAGTGCAAGTAACTGGCTGGCCAGTGCAGGCAGAGGACACAGCTTGACATGGCTGTCTCCACACCCATCTTCTCCTCCCCAGACCTACGAGCACAACGAATGGATCATCCACCTGGCTGGCAAGCTCCTGGCCAATGACCCCAAGGCCCTATCCTTGCTGGCACTCAACCCCTTCTCCGGCAGAGACCCCCCCAGGTAGGACTGCCTCCCCGAGTGGGAGCCCTTCCCCAGCACCTTCCTCAAAGCCACGCTCTGCTTAGGCCCTCAGCGTTGCCCATCCTCATGGCCGGTGGTAGCCTCTGAACAAGGCTGGCCCAACCTTTGCCTCCTATGACCTCCATCCAAACCTGCCACAGCCAAGTAAGCAGAGGCCAGGACAGCTACTGTGGAGCCCCTGGCTAAAGGTACACGCCTTTGTTGCAGTGTGCTCCACATGCTCTCTCTGCAGCTGGTCTGCAGGATCCATGGACAGGGAACCTCATGGAGAGGCCAGAAGGATATGGTGAGGGTTGCAGAGAACTGGGCTGGGCAGATGCCTATAGACCCCATGGAGTGGTCATCACCAATGTGGTAGACAGGGCCTTGTGGTCTGGCCTGTCCCAGGCAGTGCCCTCCCAAGGAGGCAGCCATGTGGGATCAGAGACTCATAGAAGCCAGATGGTGGGTAGCCAAGGAGGAGTGTGTGGCTGACATCTCCAACTTTCCAGACTCCTTGCTCGTGTCTGGGGGTCAGGAGAAGAGAACAAGGGTTCCTGGAGACTATATGATAAAGACCCCATGGGACAGCTGGGAAGTGACTCTGGAGAATCCCCTCCTAGGAGGGGAGCAGGAGTCTGCCCTGCCCTCTACTGTGGGCCTAGGGAGAGGTTTTAGAGGGAGATTTGGGGACAGTGAGTGCATGGCGGGGATGGAAGTGGGGCCAGGGGAATGGTAGGATGGGCATGGGTGAATGGATCCCCCCAGGTAGCATCCTTTGCAGACCTGGGGGTGGGCACTCTGAACATTTGTGTCACCTGCCCCTAGCATGGCTTAGAAGTTAGCAGTGACCTGGAGGTCTGACAACAGAGTGGAACCACCAGCCAGCTTGTTCCCCTCCCCTGTGCTACCCTGTCAGCCTTGGCTCTGACAGAACACACCACTCCTGGCTTTCCCTCCAGGAAGCCTTGCTGGGAGCCAGGACAGCTGCACCCTGGACTCGCTCTCAGCTGTCTGGAGGCCTCAGAGCTGGCAGGCAGGATGGGGCGGGGCCGAGGGTCTACAGAAGCAGTGGAGCAGCTGCACCCCAAGTCTTACCAGTGATGCGCCCAGAGCCCTTCCCCAGCACTGTCCCTCCAGGGGGCTGGAGACGTGGGGAGGGGGCTTCCCTCTGCATAGGCCAGGCCTCAGGTCACCCCTCCCTCCTAGTACCCATTCAGCCAGAGCCACCTTTCTGCCATGTGGCAACCAGCAAACCTGGAGGTGGGCAAAGAATGGCCACACATGGAGCCTGGACAGTACAATCACCTGAGGCACACATTCTTCCCCAGGTGAGCCAGGGACCAGCCAGCTCATCCTTCCATGTACAACATGGGTTTCTTCTGTTACTGTCCTCTGGCTTGGCTGCCCCAGGTGAGAATTTACATGTAAAACTTAGCCAGGCCCCTGTCTTAGTGTTGAAATGCCCTCGTCCTCTTGCAGGGGTCTGTGCAGGTGACTCTAGAGACCCTATGCCAGCACTCAGCCCAGATTGCAGCCTTCTCAGCATCTGGGTCTCTGGAGCTGGCTTGGAGGAAGTTTTGCCATTGCAGGCTCAGAGCACAGGCTCAGCCAGGAGGTGCTCAGAGAAATAGTTATGTCTGAGCAGTTTCAGGTGCATGTTGTGGATGCCAAAATATTACCTAAAATGAATGGATATCATGAAAATTGAGACGTGAAAATCAGTTAATCTTTTATGTGAACTGGTAATGAATTAGGGGAAACATTTAAAACATCTGAAATACTTAAAATTGCCACAGAGCACATGTCCCTCTGCCATGTCTTCATTATGCATATTTTGTATTGCAACTGAAACAGGCTGCATTGTGACAGTGTGTGAACTGATCATGACCTAACCGTGGACCTGGCTATGGACTATCTGTGGCCTGACCATGGGCCTGTATTTAGTTCATCCACAGTTCACTTTTTAAAGTGGCCAAATTGGCTCGGTGCCTGTGGGTCAGGTGGCTAAGGCACCAGTCACATACACCTAAGGTGGCGGGTTCGAATCCAGCCCTGGCCGGGCAAAAACAGCAAAGACAGCTGCAACTAAAAGCCAAGCATTGTGGCAGGCGCCTGTGGTCCCAGCTACTTGGGAGGCTGAGGCAGAAGACTCGCTTGAGCCCAGGAGTTGGAGGTTGCTGTGAGCTGTGATGCCACAGCACTCTACCCAGGGGGGTAGCTTGAGGCT